CGGCGCGCAGCGACGGCGGCTCTGCGCGGGGCGCGTGCAAGCACGGCGCGGCGACGGCGGCTCAGGCCGAAGCGCGGCGGCGGGCGAGCAGGCTAGCGCGTGGGCGAGTAGCAGGGCAGCTTGCGCGCGGTGCCCGACGGGCGAGCTCGACACGGACGAGTAGCAGGGCAAGCGCGGCTGGCGAGCTCGGCACGGGGCGCGGCAATGGCGAGCAAGCGTGGGCGGGGAGACGCTGCAACGAGACGGGGCGGACCGTTTGGGGTCAAGACGCCTCGTGCGCGTTGGGCGCGAATGCTACCTCGTCGTCGCCCATCCCTATGAGGTCCTGCGTAGGGCTCGCCAGGACACCACGCGCCTTCTTCTCCCGACAAACTAAGTGGTGTCAATGTCTTTTTTTAGGAACGGAGTGATGCCAATTGCCAATGTCCTTTGGAGAAAACGGATTCTCCCGTGCATGTAGAAGCCCTTGATCTATTGAAGATTCGTGACCATGCAGTTATGTATTGGCTATAGTATTACTATGCTCTTTTGTATTCATTCTAACATGTCACCTGACATCTTTTGCTCATGTCTTCTGGCCACCTTTTGCCTCTAACATCACCTCTCCTCTCATTTGAATAGTAGTTCACACTTATTTGTCTCTCCCACCAACTAGCACACACATAATGAATTTTCTTGGAGCGTCATATCTTTTGAACCATGAATACGGTTGCTGATATTTTTATATATATGAATAGTTCGCATCAAGAATTTTAAAATAAGACCAATATTGATTTCATTTCAAGTAACTTATTTCACAGATTCCAAAGAACATATTTCACTCAACTAAAAAGGATATTTCACAATTAACGTGATATTGAAATATGAAATTGGGATGCAACTAGCATATATAATGTGACACTGAAATATGAAATATGAAATTGAAATTTTCAGACCGCATCCATTTCAATATCCAGACCAGTTTCAGTAACGCATCCATTTCAATTAATGTGAGATTGAAATATGAGAATGTAACCAGTATATATAATGTGACAATGAAACATGAAATTTGAAATTGAAATTTTCAGAACGCACTCACTTCAGTTTCCAGACCAGTTTCAGTACCGCATTCATTTCAATTAATGTTTCCAGATATTTTACTCTTTTGAAATAAACGGTTACACATTTCTAAATAATCAGTTTCACAAGTTGACATTTTAATTTCATATTATTTTAGACTTTGAGAACCTCCATTTCACTTTTCACTGAGTTGTTTCCCAAAATCACATATATTTCAATTGCACATTTTTAAATAACATATTTCACTTTTTTGAAATATATTATTACACCTTTTTAAATAACCAGGTTCACAAGTTGCCGTTTTAGTTTCGTATTTGGATTAAATAGGTTTATAATGAAATAGGTTGGTTTCACATATTTCTATTGAAAAAAAGTGTCTTTTTTACATTTTTTAGTGAAATAGTTTGTTTCACATATGAAATGTGAAACGTTGAAATATAAACGTGTTTGAAATGTATCAAATATTAGTCTTGTTTTAAAGGTTTTGGCCTCAGGAGTTCAAATATATAAAAAAATCAAAAACGAATATTTGATTCAAAAGTTATGAGTCATTTAACATTTTGCATGAAAAATAAAATGCAAGTTTTTAGTGGGAGAGAGAGAACAAATAGCTATGCATGCACCGTACTATCTCTACACTCTCTTCCACCTTTATGTAAAAGACTGACACAAGTACGGATGCAAGAACAACTGCTACAGGACAATCTGACACGCCATCGCTTTGTATTGTCGGACGGACGGACGTATGCACCAATGCATTTTTTTGTCGAGTGTGTATACTGTATAGTCGAAAAAATCAAAGTTCATTGCCTTCTTGCTACACAAAGTTTTGGATTCCAGATTCCAATCTCAAGTTGCGTTATTCTTTAGGAGTACTGTCCATTTGGTGGAGTATAAAATAGCTAGGCTGACTCGAAAGATCCGTTTGCAAAACCTTTGCTGCTCTTCAACGACTCGTTCCCCTACTGGCCTGCTGGATTGTTTATACGTCATCGGGACACGGGCACATGCACGTGATGCACAGGCGTTCTTAATCCGGGTCGAGGCATCGAGAGCAAGCACGTACTACCTGCGAGTGGCGACGACGCACGCGCGCGATGCCGGAGCAGAGCAAGAGGCGGCGAGGCCGCAAGCGCACGGCGGCGGCGACGCTGCTCCTCGCGTACGCGGCGCTCGCCATGGAGCGCGCCGACGCGGCGCTGCTCCCGGCCGTGTACAGGGAGATCGGCGCCGCGCTGCAGGCCTCGCCCACCGCGCTCGGCTCCATCGTGCTCTCCCGCTCCGTCGTGCAGGCCGCGTGCTACCCCCTCGCCGCATACCTGGCCGCCCGGCACGACCGCCTCACCGTCATCGCCCTCGGCGCATTCCTCTGGGCCGCTGCCACCTTGCTCATAGGCCTCTCAACCACCTTTGCGCAGGCTGGTGACCCTTGCCCTTGCACGTTTCATTCATGCTCACTCGCGGCCGTGCGCCCGTGCCCTGGTCCAGAGCTCTGGTCGCTTAGAAAATCGAATGATGCGATATTGCAGATGGCCGTGACAGCGGCGTTGAACGGCGTCGGGCTGGCGCTGCAGATCCCGGCGATCTTCGCCTTCGTCGCGGACTCCGTCGACGGCACGAACAGGGGCATGGCCTTCGGGTGGCTCATGGTGGCGAGCAAGGCCGGCACCGTGGGCGGCACCACCCTTGGCCTACTCATGGCGCCCACCTCGTTCTTTGGCGTTCCGGGTTGGCGGCTCGCCTTCCTCCTGCTCGCCGCCGTGGGGGCGGTGGTCGGCTTGTCCATCCGCGCGTTCGCGGCCGCCAGCAAGGCCCCTGTCCGGGCCCCCAAGCCGGTGCGGCAGGAGCTGCAGGACTTCGCGAGGGAGGCGAAGGCCGTGCTACGGATCCCGTCGTTTCAGGTCATCGTCGCGCAGGGACTCACGGGTTCGTTCCCCTGGTCCGCGCTGTCCTTCACGGCTATGTGGCTCGAGCTAGTCGGCTTCTCCCACGGCGAGACGGCGGCGCTGATGACTCTGTTCAAGGTCGCCACGTCGCTGGGCGGCCTCTTCGGCGGCAAGATGGGGGACGTCCTCGCCGGGAGGCTCAAGAACTCGGGCCGCATCATCCTCGCGCAGATCAGCGCCGGCTCGGCGATCCCTCTCGCCGGCGTCCTGCTGCTCGCGCTCCCGAGCGAGCCGGCGACTTTCGCCCACCACGGCGCCGCGCTGTTCGTCATGGGGTTCATGGCCTCCTGGAACACCTCGGCCACCAACAGCCCGATACTGGCCGAGATCGTGCCGCCGCGGTCGAGGACGAGCGTGTACGCGCTGGACCGGACGTTCGAGGCCGTGCTCGCCTCGTTCGCTCCCCCGGTGGTCGGCATGCTCGCCGAGCACCTCTACGGCTACAAGCTGGTGCGCTCTGCTGCCGGCGGCGCAGGGCACGCGGCCTCCGTCGAGACGGACCGGCACAACGCGACGTCCCTCGCCAGGGCCCTGTACACCGCGATCGCCATCCCCATGGCGCTGTGCTGTCTCGTCTACTCGTTTCTGTACTGCACCTATCCCAGAGACAGAGACCTGGCGCGGGCTGAGACGGCGCGAGATGGAGGTGGAGCCCGTCCCAGTGGCGAGGGGTCCGACACCGACGATGAAGGGGAGGAGGAGAGGGAGCTGCTGCCACTGTGATCGTCGTTTGACTTACCAGTAGTGTTTTACTGCCTCCGTTTATTGATTCCCTTAGTATTTTATGTCAAATCTTTTAACTACTAGCAGAATGCCCATGCGTTGCTACGGGCTATGATATATATAAATGAATTGAACAAATGATTAGGGTCGTCTCCAAGTCCGACGCTCATTTCTCTCTTGTACGCCCGACCATGTTCGGACATGAAACGGGGGCCTAGCGGGCTTCTCAAAATTCAACCGTCTGGACAGTCCATCCTACCCCAAATCCAGACCATATGTGTGAGAGGAACATGGTGGTCCGCCATGTTATATTCAACACACTGGCCCAACACAAAAGAAAACCCATCCCACGATGGGCCCTTCTCTTTTTTAGTGGACCATCCTCTTCTTGCTCGGTATCCCGCTGTAGCGGGACATTGCTCGCTAGAACCCACTCCTTTAAAACCACACGATGCCCATATCATCTTCCCCATGACACCCTATCTCCTTCACGCCATATTTCCCGATGGACCGCCAAGGAGGAGTATCCCGCCAACCACCACGCTCTCTGCCCTGAACCCCCCTGCCCCTATTCGTGTCGATCCACCACCGCCTGTTAGGTATATATGCATATATCGGTCGTAGAAATGCATGTTAAATGCATTTTTAAATGTTATAAATAATTCCAAAAAAATTATCGTCTACATCTCTGCAAAAATATGTGCGCGACACCAGTTTTTTTGTCTTTTTTGCACACGAAAAAAATCCTTCGAAACTTTTGGCACACACATAGAATGTGAAGCTGTACATGTGCAACAATTTTCAGTTTTTTTTAAACTTGAAAAAGTGTCTTTCGAAGTGGGTGCAGATGTACTTGGGTTCATCCATGTATTTTCCCGTCCAGAGCTAGCAGCATACAACTCATTTTGACCGTCCCATGAAAAAATAGACAAGCTACCAGCCACACAGAAAATCAGGCCACCAACGAGGCTGTAAGGACCAGGCCACCTGAAGTCTCCCACAAACTACAGTTCTTTCGCCAGGCGCAGCGGAGCTCGCCACAATGTCTAGTTATAATTAAACGTCTACGGTTGCATCTAATCAAGCTATAAAAAGGAAGACACCATCTAGCATATATCGTGAGCGCATCCATATAACACAAGTATGCATACAGTCAAGGCATCCAAGAAATGTGTTGCATTTTGAGACCAGCATAATTCATCTGTGTGTACTAATCAATAGTTAAAAAATAGCTAGAAACTATTTAGTCTAGTAGATAACTGGAAGTCTAGTCTACCAGGAAGCTAATCACAAAAACATGATAAAAATCAAAACCATAGTCTTTCTATTCCTGGCAATTGATCATCCTATACAGGAAGATATAGTTCATATACCATTAGCAAATAATCTAGGCATATAGGTACAGAAGAGCCACAAGACCGATCCGAGTTTCAGCTTAACATCAACCAATTGCTTAACAGTCCAGAATAAAGTCACAAAATTGCATCAAGAACAGGATCTGACACTTGCATTGTGGTGTTTTCCCACTGTATATCTGACACACACACTACATGCACTCTGCAGATATGTATCCAACCGGCTATACTCTACGCTCTATGGAATTTGCGGACTTCTTGGCCATGTTAGGTAAAGAAGCTCCGTAAGTGTCATTTCGTAGCAAGATTGCAGCCACTCGTGCCTCCTCCTATATGTAGTACTTGAAACCTTCACATGAAGACTGTCATTAAGAAAATGGCTGTATCAAAGTGAATCTTGTGAAGAGAGTCAATTCAGCTCTACAAATAATGTATACTCTCTACACATGCAAAAAATGTATATCTAAACGGTGAACAAAAAAAGAAATATACTCTCTACAAATAAATGATCAAAGTTTACAAATGCTTGGCTTGTGAACTACTTAGTTACTCCCTGCTACTAAAAAAAGTCAAGCATACAACTAATATGCCCAAGTTTGAGAGAGACACAATCCAAATGAATTGCCAAAGAGAAGAAAGAACTGCAGAAAAACATGAAAGATCCCCCTGTACAACAGATTGCAGAAAAGACCAATGCATTCTCAAATTATTTGCTCCTTCTGAGCTAAAAAACTCCCTGCGGAGCAAATGGTCGAGCTGGCCGTAGGAAGGAACACACTAAAACATGCCAAGAAAAGTGCATTGGTAAAAACAAAACAAAAAGAAAATATAGGAACAACCAGGACGGGGTTAATGGTTTGGGAACTGAGAGAGTTGATGGGAGGGACAACCGGAGAAGCAAACCTAGCAGAAATTCGCATCTGCTTTTCCAAGATGATGTGCTGCTCGGTGGATGATCATCATCATGCATCCACTGTAAAGGTCCTCGATTCTTATATGCATTCAGTTTCTGCAAGTTCAAAAGGTAGTTCTACATAATCACTAAACAGAGGCACTAACCTGGTACTGAATTTATAGAATAAGTGCAGATCCTTTGTTGAGTCCTCTGCAATCTCAATACTCTGGATCCAACTAATGTTCTTGTCTTGCCCTGCAAATATATACATGATTCAGTCTATTTTCAGAAATTAGGATTTCTATTTTCTATGCGATCCACATAGAACATGGGGAATCACCTAAGCTTAGCTGCTGTATCAGACCCAGAACATTCACTAATGCAGTTAAATAGCTGTACAAATATAAAGAACATGAACTTACAACTTCATGGTTCAGTATATGGACAAAAAGACCCACGTCTAGAGATCTAGAGAGAGAGGAACTAAAGGCAAACCATGAACCATGTCCAGCTCCTTGCTCTTGCTACGATTCGTGTTCGACCCACTCCTTGCATGCACTAGCGACCTCATCCATGAGACAAGGGGGGAAAGAGAGGGGGAGGAAGATAGAGACAAACCTGAACCGCCTCAACCTTCTTGCTCCTGCTGCTCCGACCAGCAAGTCTCCCTCCACGGTCGACCCCGCCCACATTCGCCACTGCACCAACTCCGCTGTTTTCCCCATCAAGGCAGAGCTCCCGTGCGCGTCTTGTTCAGAGGGGCTCTCCGAGGCCTCGAGGTCCTCATCAAGATCTCATCCTCCGAGTACTTCACCCCATACTTTTCGCCTAATGTTCTGTACACCTGAATTAGCATTAAGAACACAAGCCATATTAATCAAACCACCGTATGCATACCCAATTAACAGAGGAAAGGGAGATTTTTATCAGTAATTCGTTATGCATGGAGAAACAAATCCACACAACCCAGAAATGAACAGCAGAAACAAATCTGCCCAGGTTCTCACAACCCGAATCTACGAACATACACGAACGGAACGGGCTACGGGAGCACGGATCAGGTCGATCCAAACGCCATGCATTGTCTCAGCATGTGCACCGCATAGAAAACATGCAGGCCTCCGTCAACCATGGGAACGGCCAGCAGAATCGAGCGGAACAAACAGAGGAACATGAATTGGAGCTGCGGTATATGGGGGAAGGGCGTAGGCCGACCTGGGCCATGGGCTCGGTGGGGCGAGGAGGGTGCCGGCGGCGTCGACATTAGAATGAGGACCTATTTTTTTTAAACTGAGTTTTTTAAAAGACCATGTTTCCGTAACTCACAACCAACCTTGCAGCCTCGCGTGGATGTTCATCGACAGAATAGATCGCGTGGATGCAGCCTCGCAGTCAAAAGATATGTGTACCGGTAGAGAGTATGGACCTGGGACTGCCGATCGATGGCTTGACACGCTGGAAGACCACGGGCTGACACAAAAGTCATGGATGAGCTTCTCAACCAGGCGGCTCCTCCCCTCGCCGGTGCTGCAGACCCGTCTCGAACCACAATCACAGATCAATGGTGATGGCACGCGTCGCACCTTAGATCGATGCAGCGGTGCCAGCGCTTGGTACGTGTGGCGTCGGGGCCGGGGCAGGTAGGGTGGAGTGGGTCGTCGATGGCTGTCAATGCACGGCGAAATCTGGCGGGCGGCGTGAGGTGGAGTGAGGGGAAGGAGGTGTCGTCCTGGTGATCCGCGACGGCCGCGTTCTGGTATTCCGTGATGTATCCGAGGCGCCGGCGGCGGTGGCGTCCTGGTGATCCGCGATGGCGGCGGCGGTCGCCGGCGTCGCGGCGTTGACTCCCTGGATCAGCGTCGGCGTCTGCGGCTGCGTCTCGTCCGGAGACGTGGAGTAGCGGCTTGGGATGAGATCTACGGCAAATTGTGTTTTTTTTCAAACATTAGGTGTAGAGATAAATGCTGGCACGGATGTCCCAAATATAGAAATAAACACCGCATATTTTTCTTCTTTTCCTTCTCACCGTTCCTTTGGCTGATGCATATGGCAATGCTTGATTTCATGGACAAAAGTCAATTATCTCTTTCTTAGGAAAATCATAACTCCTGATTGCATGCGAAAATCATACCCCAAATTTTAGAAGAAACTTTCCATCCTTTTTCTCTCTGTCTGATGCATATGGAAATGATTGATTGATTTCATGTACAAAAGTCAATTATCTCTTTCTTAGGAAAATCATAACTCCTGATTGCATGCCAAAATCATACCCCAAATTTTAAAAGAAACTTTCCATCCTTTTTCTCTCTGTCTGATGCATATGGAAATGATTGATTGATTTCCCGTATGTACGAGGGAGATAGGGCGGCCGCATCGGGTGGATCGAGAGACAGTTTTTTTTGGTTTTGCACGGTTTATTTGTTTCCTTAAAATCTATTATTTGTTTCCTAAAGAAATTTGCAATAATGGAAGGTATCGGTTGATTTGGATAAGTTAGTAAATTTAGATCCGTGATTGCGTGCACGTCTGGAAAGTGCTGATTTGCAAGGAAAGAACTGAGGGGTAAATAAACCGGTGAATAAGAAACCAGTATCGAAAAAAATCAACGACGGTTAACCTACGAAAAAAAACCGGACGAAAGTGGTGGGACGAAAAAAAACCTGGAAGCGAGACTACCAACTGCTCCATTAGGAGTAGAGATGAATATTAATTTTTAATTTTTAACTAATAAAAAAATAAGGACCTCAAAC